ATACGATTCTAATTGGAGCTTTGATTGATAAGGCTTTCACTTACACTTTAATTTAATTCCACCGTTGCCTATCGTGCCGAATAAGTAGACCATTAGTGATTCATATCGCGACATTGTTAATTTTCCAAATAATGCTGCGATTGTTTGAATGTACAACAACGTTGCCGTCCTAAAATGTGGGCTGCGGTCCATACCCACTCTGATTAAAGAACGACGATTGCGTTAAAGTCGTTCTATGGTCAGTTGAGGAAAAATTCGGCTGCGCATCTCAACATATTTTTATTGATTTTCGCTGAGGAGTTGAAAAAGAGTCCAGCCAGAAACGTAAATCGACGCACGGTTAATTCAGAGCCGGGCAAGGCGGGACCCAACGCTCGCAGAAAATTTGCCTTGCGCGACTGATTCTCTCAGGATCATCAAATTGGAGGACCAGTGGACTAAGTTCATGAAAAAGGAAACAATGATGCAGTATTTACAGGCAGCCAGCCTAAAATTCTGGCATAAAATCCTGGGTACGGCGATGAAAAAAAATCAAATAGATGTTTCTTCTCGAGATTTTTTTTTTTATTTTTTCATTTTTATTTTTTTTCATTTAGGTAAATATTTGTGCTTTTAAACAACCCTCACGTACAGATTCAATAAATTTTTGTACAGCCAAGTCTGAAGAGTCCTTCCCTGGAAAACAGGATCGGTCAAAAATGGGAGCCACTTTTTAAAGCCGCGAGTGGATTTCATGAGGCCTTAAAAATATCGGGAAGCGACTCTAGACATTTTTACGACTTCGGCGGGAGCGGAGACGAGAGTGAAAGGCCGCGCAGTGCAACAAATAAAATTGCGAATTATGGAGAAAACCACACTGCAGCGCCTGGACGTAAGCAAACTCTTTCTTATTTTTTTAAAAAAAAAAAAAAAAAAAAAAAAATTGAGAGATTTCAAAGACTCGAATCTGATCAAAGGCAAATTCTCATACGCATTGCTACACTCGAAAAGAAAAATTCCATTAGAATCAACCTGATAGATCTCCAGATCTTACTGGTACAAGAGATCGTTCCGTTTTTTAAATACACATATGATCCACAAAACTTACTAAAACTCAATTTTTCATAAATTATCTTCAAAATATACTTATTTTAAACCACGTTAATTATAGAACCTTGAGTTTAACCAAAACTGCTGGAATTAAATTGGATACCTAATTATGAAATTTTTTACTTCAGAATAATCTAATCTAAAAATGTTTATGTTAATATTTTTGTTTTGCTTAGTACGAAAAAAGGAAGGATCAAAGTTGCTGAGAATTCAAGGTCTCATATCATCTCCTCCTGCACAGAGGAACAAACCATGATTGTATGGTTTCGGTATTTCTACCTAACTCACATTTTATTTGTTTAGAAGAGCCATTGCATGAATTTTCCTGAAATTTCAAGTGATATTACTTTATTCTTGTAAGAAACGACCCTGAAATTTTCAGAATAATTAATGGGACAGTTCTCTCGTGAAATAATAAAATGATGGTAGAACAACATGTTCGCGGACAAGATCTGTTTCTTTGTGCAAGAGACAACTAGATGAATGTGTTTAATTTAAACCGAGAAATGGCTTTCCTTCAAAATAAAAACAAATACCTAGAAAGATAATTAGATGAAAAAGGAATAAGTTAAACATTTTCATAAAAAAGGTTTTTAAGAGTTGATCAGTTGAATCGCTTGCTAAAAAAAAGTAATATAAGCTAGAGCAAAAATAAAATGGACTATATTTTGCAATTAGGAACTACTAGGTATTTCTGGCTCATTCGAGAAACAATGTACATGCCACAAGTTTCCCTTTGCAGATAGGTGCTTCTAAGGGTAGGTTAAAAATAGAAGTCCCTCAATGCAAGATGAAGTCCAAATATAAATTTGATATCTAGGTATTTGAGCTGAATTTCTTTCAAATTGATTCAAAATTCAATCTACTTCCAATGGGACTTTTAAGCTGACATGAAGTTTTGAAAGACAAAATGGCTGGTACTGAGTCCACAAAAATGCATTGTGATCAGGGGCAGGCAGGTAGGCAGAAAAACCAGAAAAAACCCTGTCTGCAGGTGAATATTTGAGGTGACTAGGGACTGGTTTGCCCCTGTTACGCGGCAAAAAGAACACTTAAAGGGGCCAACCTGAGCTTTGATAGGCTGGGATTCCTGATCAATTTTTTGGTGCTGGTCTACCCTTTAATGAGACATAAGATTTTTGACTTCTCAGGCTGTGATACAGGTTTTTTCCACATTTATCATCCACATTCTAGTGATGGCTAAAATTTTAAGTTTCACGGTTTCATCGCAAAACCTTTCCCGTGCTAGAATTTTAGAACTCCAAGGCTCAAAGGTTTTTTAAGGTTTATTAAATCCAAAACTGTTCCAGTCAATTTACGTCTCCACTAACACTACAAGATAAATTAGACGTATTTCTATCAAACGGAACTATGAGCATTATGACGTGAGCCCTGTTATGCGTGTATACTTATGGGTCTCAGGGCTCATGTCTTAATGCACATAGTTAAGTTTGATAGAAATACGTCCAATTGGAGAGAATTAAGTAAAAAAATTCCCCAAGCAATCTCATAAAATTCTGATATCACACCTTTTCCATGATGAAAGTTTTACATGAAGGAAAACTTTGCAAAGGATCACAACTGGGCACTATATAAATGCTAAGTAACTAATAGGTGCAACTGCAAAACGCTTCCAAGATATTCTGGGCCCTCTTTATGTTTCTGTATTAAACTTACTGATGGCAAATTTTAGAAACAAAGTTTAGGAACTTGATCTGATTAGGATTAAGTTTAGGACAATTATTTTACCAGTTTCCGCGGAAACTCCCAAATCAGAAAAAAAATTACCTACTGGATGAAGTAGTGAAATCAATTAATTTATTTTTTTTTCTTTACTACTTCAAGTAGCCCACAAGGGATAATTTTGCGCTTCAGTCCTGTCCCCCCTCCGTCCCTAACATCCAGTCCCAGGCAACCATCAATGGAGACCATCAAACTCGGGTCACCTGACCGGGAATTGAACCCGGGACCTCCCGATCATAGAGCTAGCGCTACAACCACTACGACATAGGAGGACAACACAATTGGCAAGACAATTGGGTTGGTCCGTTAGATCTTCTTCAAGGTTTGTACTTTAGTTCGTCATTGCTTGAAGAGGATAAACAAGCACAGAATCGTTTAAATGAAACGGCAATTACTTTTAATAAAAATGAGTAGCAAGGATTTATTCCTTACCAGTTGGAAACATACTTGTATGTTTTGAGCAAAAAACAAGACATTACCTCCTTATCTTCAATAACTGTATTCTACATTTGCTTAGGTCTGCTTAGAATAGAACCAAAGGTTTATCAATCATGTTATCAATATTTCCAAAACAATATTCAAGCCTCTATAAAGTTGAAGGTCTAGTACCCAGGAAGAAATACGAAATTTCTCCGCTCTCAGGATAAGAGTTCCAAATGTTCGGTTGCATGTCAAATTTTCTAGAGAAATTTCTTTTCAGGCCTAAAATTGCTGAGGTGGTGTACTAAAGCCATTAGCTTGAAGGGTTTAAGAATGAAAATTCTAAAGGAAAGGTTGAGACAAACATATTTTCTACATGTCAAAGCTGCGGCACCTCACACTTGCAGCCTGATTGTTGAAATTTATCTTGGCATGACAAGCATCAAAAATTGATAAATTACACAGTGCAGTTAGGGTTATGTCTTGTCTTATCTTGCCAACAAAGCCAGTTAAAGTTTCAACAATCAGGCTACTGACGGTTTGTATATTGAGTTTGTCTATAAAAGCAGAAGAATTAATCTCGGCGAATTCTTCTAGGACAGCATACCCTTCAAAATTGGTAGATAACTAGTGAGATTGTCAGAAGACTTGGATGATTCCTCAACATATATAAGAAGTGGTGTGTTTCAGAGAATGACCGGGCCGTTGTGTACTGGTGTACTATCATACAAGAAAACTGGCGCAAGAATTTACATCATGAATGTATTAGTACCTACCTAACAGAATGCAAAATACTATTGTTGATGCTGAGATGAGCCAACAACCAGAGTTATACCTTGCATTATCTTAAAAAAATAGAGAAGAAAATCCCGATTGAATCCTAACCTCTTAATCTTGAGATTGTCGAGCACTTAGGGAATAGAGCATTAGTGGACATTTTCACAGCTCAGCAAAGCCTCTTTAAATGTGCAAAGCGAAACTTACCAATGAATCAAATGATTAAATACTCCTCGGCTAGCAATCCTCAGGAATAACACTCCAAAAACACTAGAAATAGTTCTGACATTCACAGGATATAACTTGATTAAATGCACTTCACTTCATGTTACACACATTAATAAAATACGAAACCCCATATTTAAAGCGGAACTCGAATGGATGGAAAAAACATATGATCAAGCACAACCGAAATCAGAATTCTAAAATTTAGAGAAATTTTCGATCAATTTTGTATTGAAGATAACCTAGACCGCTTGAAAGCCAACAGAGAGGGTTCTTGTCAAAAATTCCGAATTTTAAAACCGAAATTTAAGCACTGCCCGATTACTAGTATTCGAAAACTCGGTGAAAATTGTTGAAAGAAAAGCCTAAACACTGGAAACTTACAGCAAATCACATGCTAAATGAGTACTTTTTTCTTATTTTTGGTAATTTGTGCTTCGTAACAGCTGAAAACAATGACTTCCTGTTCCCAATGTCGTGAAGTTTTTAATTATTCTTTGGCGATTGTAACACACTCCGCGGTTCAGACTTTACCAGCGAAACGCACAAATTCCGGCCGAAATTAGCGGATGACGCGAAAAAACGCGAAAATATTAAGATTAAACTAAAACCGAGACCAAAATGGTGACAGATTTTATCAAAATAATGACATAATATTTATCAAATAACGGGTTTGCATGATTTTCGATGAACGTCGGCGTACTAAACCGTTTGAATAGTTGACCAACGAAAACTCATCTGATATGTACAAACTACAAACTCTAATTATTTTCAAATTTCACCCGTCGATTGATAAATTTGATTGATTAGATTGATAATGGACTTTTAAAAACTGTTTCAGCATAGAACTTGGCTTCAGGTATCAAGGTTTCTTTGGTGAGTATTTGGCAAACTCCTTCATTACACAATAATATCTTAAATCTTAGAATTTCGTCCCTCATCACTCATCACTTGAATGAGTGATGGGTAGATTTCACTGTCATTACAGAAAAAATGTTTGAAGTAAGTAAGCACTTATCTATCAGCATGTACCCTTTGGACACATTAAATCCAATTCACCCGGTTTCATTTCTCATATCGACGGTGTAAGTCGGCAATCACATAACTCGGTTTGCGACGTCGCAAACTTCCTGTGATACTTTATTTTATAAACGGAAAACTACTCAACAGCAATTCTGTAAAACTGCCGTGATTTTTTTTCTCTGTGCGAATAAAATTCTGCGTAAACTTCAAAGAATGATGTCAATTTGTTCTCCTTTTAAAAAAATAACATAGAGGCAGAGATTTTCAGACACCGCAAACGAGTTATGGTGATTGTCGACTTACACCGTCGATATAACTTTCCCTCTTACTTTACTGAATGAAAATATTTCCTATTTGTATAATGCAGTCCGAATTTTCATCCAACAAAGTCGGAAGAAAAGTTAAATGAAAAGTTGAAGCATGTGAAGTGGCTTTGGGAGTAGATATGTCCTGAAATGCTGCTAAAGGCATTGTCCTTACAGAATGTTGTCATGAAACTTGTTGCAGGGTCGAAAAGCGGGCTTGAAACTTTGGTGATTTCGGAGTTACTGTCTGTATGATAAGAGGCTCCCTTGTTCCTGCAACAAGTTTGGGAAGATATTAGCGGAAATCCAGTTTTCAACCAGGATTAAGATAATAACTGGCTATAATTGGACGTATTTTTGTCAAATGGAACTGAGCGCCATAGGGGGAGGAAGGTAGAAGGAGGCTTGGATTGGCGGCGGAACCTGCCCCCCCCGCCCTGCCGGGCCCATTCCGTCTTATACTCGCAATGCTTTTCCATGGAGCTTAATTCCGTTTGACAAAACGAGTCACCCGGCATTCTAAATCTTTCAAAAGGAACTCAAACTGGCGCTTAGTTCCGTTCGACAGAAATACGTCCAATTAAACCAATTATTCTAAGTAAGCAAATCCGAACAATTCAGAGAATATCACACAGTGGGCTTTCACTTCTTCCTCTCTCAGTTGATCTTGAATCTCTACATGAAGCATACTTGGTACTGCGATTAATATTGAGTAGGTCAATATTTGTCACAACTTTGCAAGTGATACGTAAGTCTCATGGAAACATCTCGTAGAGACAAAGCCAAAAGCAATCCTCGAATGGTGACTTTCTAGTTTTCTATTAGCCAAGCATAGGACCAATGAAATTGCTTTTTTCGACAGCATTCATACGGTAAAACATAACAGGTCAGTAGGTTCCGGAAAAATTGCAGGCTGTGAGTGTTTTCAGGATTTATTAATTCAATCTTTATTTATTCCAGACACTTTGGAGAATAGTTTTGACCAACATCAAGATAAATTAAAAAATGTGCAGAGCCTCTGGTTTTTATGTAATTGGCTGCCTCAGCTGAACACATTGAAGGAAACAGGGCATACAGCATTGCCAGTCATCGCATACTAGTCGGAGGAACATTGGATGAAACAGCCTCAACAAATGACTTCATCCGCACTTCACTACATGACGACTCCAATGTACTCTTTGCTTGTAACCTGGTTTCAAGCATCGAGACTTTTATGGTAAGTATGTTGACAATGCCTTACAGTACCATCTCAAGTTTGGAATTTTTTTCACCATATTTTCCTACAACCTAGCTTACTTTTTTCTAAAAATATGAATAAGATAAATGAAAGAATGAATATGGACCTTATAAGATTTCTCGAAGGTTAAAAATTGTAAATTTTGTAAGTAACACTTATACAAAGAAAATTGATAATGTGTGGTTAGTTAGGGAGAGATATTCTTCGATTGTTTCTACTAATACTCTGAACTGAGTTCTATTTAAGCACGATCATAATATTTGAATTCTATCCGTCTATTCTGTATTATATCTAAATGGATTTGAAGTTAAAGAGATGTAAATTTGTT